AATGCTTATGTAAGATAGTATGTACTAATAATTACTATTTAATTAGACTGTAACCAACTAATATACAATGTTTATTATATAATCATTCTAGTTTACCTGTCTCAACATATGCTGACACTTGTCCATTGTTCTAGGGTATGTGTAATGTGGAATTGTAATTGCTTGTTACACAATACTCACACCTATTTTTGATTTGTTTATTGTGATTCACAAATTGATATTTTAGGTCATATATAGGTTCAAATTTGGCAATAATATTTGTCTTGGTAGATATAGAATAGAAGCACATCGTATTGGTCTTCATGCCCTACATATATAACACATGCGGTACATATATTGGTTTTTATTTCCATGTAAGGTTTGGTTTAGTGGTAAGAGTTTAGCCTTATAATTTTAAGGTTATAGGATCAAATCACTCTAGAAGCTATAGGAGGCTAAGGTTTCCCTTATTCTTCCGCCTCACTCCTAACAAGTCTGACTTTGCTTAAGTTGGACTAAATTGACCTATGAGAGATGCTTATTTAGGGAGTGTTCGATCTCTTCATCTTATTGGACCTGAATTTATCCGAACTTAGCTGAACTTATTAGACTTTATTAAACTTATTAATAAACCTTATTGAGCTTATTAGACCTTATTATTAGACCTGATTGAACTTATTGGACCTTATTAGACCTTATAATTAGACTTGATTTTAACTTATTGTAACTTATTATACCTTATTGAACTTATTGGAACTTATTAGACCTTATTTAACTTATTGGAACTGATTAGATATTATTGAACTTATTAGACCTTATCAAACTTATTGGACCTTATTGTAACTTATCTGAACTTATTTAACCTGAAACTTATGTTTTTTAAGGTGAATAGAACAAGCCCTTAATAGGATTTTTCTCCTTATCACTAAAAAAAAGTTATTACAATATGCCTTAAGTTCTGTTAAGGACTATTTTGATCCCTACTCTGCTTTTGTTTTGCGAGTACTGTACAACACCCTGCACTTTAACCTAATTTATGGTTGTATCAAACACATTGTATAGAATCACATTTAATTTTATAACATATAAGTCACATCATATAATATAATGAGACTATCTCAAGCAAAATTTCATATAGTACCCCTCTCTAATATCTCACTCGTATCACCAGATTCAATGTTTTAAGCCAATCGTGAAAGATATTCAAGTCAAGTGTGTTTTTCCCCCAAGTTCCTTTATCTATCTATTTCTCGCCTTAAACGACCCAGCTACACAATGTGATATCTGACCTAATCAATAAGTTGCACCCTTATTTCAATTTCGGGAACAAAAGCAAATAAGCACCAACTTACATGCATGTAAACTACTTGTATATTAGAGTAAAGTCAGAGGCATATAATTGAATATTATTATTTCACAAGCCAAAAATATTTGGTAGATTATGCTCTATCAAATCAAATGTGTTGCTTATCAAATTTGCTTTGAATTAAATTAGATCGAAAGATTGTATAAGCAATGGTTTATTTTTTCCTAATGCTCAAATGTGAAATGTGTTATAAGAAATATCGGGCAACGTGCTGTTTTTTGTCTGGGAGTAATTGGCATTTTGCATTTGGATATATTTCATGATTCTAGAGGTTATGTAATTGATTAGATGTTTACATTACACTTTAATCAATTCAAATCTTCTTTCGTCATTCTAATTTCTAAATCATATATTATAAGAGAGGAATATATTTAGTATGTAATTACATAGAAGGCACATGAGATTTGCCTTTAGAGTTTTAGTTCATGCATATAACTTGATTTTAAGCTTAGCTTTTATTAATGTTAGTTTGACCTTGGATTTTTTTTACGTGAACATATATTGCATGGATTACATACTGGATGACGATCGAAGTCATTTTTTAATATAAGAAAGGAAAATTATCATTACTACTAATATACTTGGTACTAAATAATACAGGTATAAAATAATATAACAATCTACTTAAAAAAAAAAAATAGTAGAAAGTTTGAAACAAAGAAAATCTTAAAATCATGCGAGCTTTAATTTGGACCACAATCTAAATTAATTGCATGAACAAAGCATCATACTCGTAATTCAAACCCAAATAACATGTGTATTTATAAAAGAACGTTGTATATATTTCAAACTTGGATAAATTGTTCCAGTCTAAATCAAAAACTTAAAGTACATGGGTCATAGTGCAAAAAACTTATAGTAAATGAATTCATTTTTTATTGTCCAAAAAAATAAAAAATAAAGTCGTGGATAGTTAATATGAAGTATGGAATATGCATATTTAGAAAAATCTAACAAAAACTCATATTAATATATTTTTTTTAATTATTAATATAAATCATTAAATTTAGTCAAAGTAAAAGTGTCATATGTTAAAAAGTGACAACTAATTTGAAACGCATGAAGCTTGAAAGTACATCATAATCAAATGAATATCACCTTCAACCTCATAAAAAAAAAGTCGTAATAAAAAAAATTACTACATTAACTCAAAATATATTGAGATACATTGTTTCCTTCAACAAAAAAATCGTCAACTTCATCATCCAATTATTAGATTTATTAGAGCGACCAAATCAACAATATAATTGCTTTGAAATCCATCATTGCAATTGATTTATGACATGTTAAATTCTGTTTATAATAATATAAACAAAAATTAACACTGGAATTTAGATGTGGTATCTTATAACCATATTTTTGAAATTTTAATCTTGAATAAATCAGTGAACATACATTGTTCTTCTTTTTATTAATACATGGACTAATAATGGAGCCAACAAATGTACAAGTATGAAATAACCACTACCAGTGGCGGATCTTGACAATTTTCTTTTGGGGGGCCGAATTAAAATTTAGTTTTTAAATCTAAACCATAGTAGATACTAATAACAATGTAAAATAGTTTAATCTTATTTTTTTTTAAGTAGCTATTAAAAAAATAAAAAGAATCATGAATAGCAAGTACAGTATATAAATATCATTGCTAATTGCCTAATTCTTTAAAAATGAATAACGTAGTACTGTATTATTGTTTATATAGAATTTGTTTTTTTTTTTGTTTTTGAAATAAAATTAAAAATTTGTACTTGACTGCCAATAATACTGGCATTTATGATTTATGTATTGAAAGATGGGCCAATTTGTCATATGTCAAACTCACATAGGAGTTTGTGCCAAGTAAAAACATATAAAGGAATACTACATGGTACATAAGGTGTTTGTAAATTTTAAGTCAATGGGCTACAAATTGGGCTTTTTTTTCTTTTTTTTTTTAGTTTGCTTCTTAATAAAAATTGGATCAAATCTAAGGGCAAGCCCAGGCCAGCCCCTTAGAAGATCCGCCCCTGACCACTACTACAAAAAAGGTCATAGAGAACGGTTAAAACATGTTTTATAGAACGCCTTAGGACCGTTCTTCTGCTAAGCGATGTGTAAAGTTTATAGAACGGGTGGAAGGGGCGTTTTGTATACCCAGACATAGAGAACGGTTCTCAAGCATAATAGTTCTCTTTTCCCAATAGAAAATAAAGAGGGAATAGAGAACGGCTACCCTGACTAACCGTTTTCTATTTTTATTTGCTAAAGAGAACGGTTATCTTAGATACCAATCTCTATTCATCTTTTTATTTAAAAAAAAATTGCTTGAATTATGTAAACTAGGCATCCCCAGAATTCTATCCCACCCAATTACGCCGCAATCACGATCCCATATACCCTAAATCACGATCCCACCCAAAATGATCCCGCAATCATGATCTCAACCACACCAAATCTCCACTATTCGGTCCAGCTAGTCGAACGCCAAGCAAAAAAAAGTCAAATAAAAAAGAAAGAAGATATTCTAAGATAGTGAGGTGGATGAGATGTATCACATTAATTGAGTAAAAACACGTAGAGTACTTACATCAATTTGAAGAAAATCTATTTGCAATCAATAATAATCATGATATATGATTATTTTTACAACTAGAATCGCAGATTAGGAAATAATGAACAAAATAGACTGATTAAAATTATACTCTGTAATTAGATCTAAAATTATAATACACAATAGAAACAAAAAATCACCAGTTTGATTCAATGTTACTGTTATATGAAAAACTATACTACAATTTTTAAAAAAAAAAAAAAAAACCTCAAATAACAGAATTAGATGCAAATTTCGTGCTGCAAATGCGACTCCATTAGACCTTGCACTGTTATCTGATTTTGAGGTTAATCGATTAGAAGGTTGTTAGTTGCGGGTAGTCCTTGGCGTTGTAGAGCTTATGAGCCGACAATCGAAAATTTTGAGAATATAAGAGAAAAAATAAAAGATAGCGAGTATTCATACAAAGGAAAAAGGAGGGCAAAGTTGAAGAATATCAATGAGGGAGGATGTGTTTACACTACCAGTAATAGGGTTGAATTCTAAGAAAGAAGTAGCAAAACATAAGAACAAGGTAAAAGGAAATTATACTCAAAAGTCTCAAATATACGAGTAAAAGGAAATTGCAGTATGAGATATTCTACTGAAAAGATTAGGCGGGATTTTAATTTTTGAAATTATTGATACTTAACGGTTGTTATTGAACACCGTTTTGTATTCTATAATTTTTTTAAAATTGTAGTTGACCAAAAACAACGGGTACCAAGTGAAGCGTTTTGTATTATCTCTCTTCTGTAACGGTTATCTAAGAAAAGTGTTCTCTATAATTATATATAACGCCTATCTAACTTAACAGTTCTCTATCTTGTGTTGCTTATTCCATGTTTTGTAGTAGTGAACGTCGTTTATTACGAGTTTATGACCATAAAAATTAAACCGGACTAACCGGTGCACCACAAAGGATTATGCACCTGGGTGTAGCCATACTTGGGCTTGATTATACAATTAATAGCATAGCATAATGGGGGCTCTTCCCAGTGATTCTTGGCAATCTTTTCAATTAAAATGCCAAAAGAGTCTTAACCAATAATTGCAACTACTATCACAAAAAACAACTCTTAACAATTGTACCTTCCAAAAAAAATTATCTTTATTATAATCAATTGGCTTCATTATGCAATATTAATATTTCAAAATCTATACATTAATAAAATTAGAACCAATCCCCCAAAAATAAAAATATAGCAACTTAAAGAAACACCTCAGGTCCTATCATACATGTAATATTCTCCTACTCATCATTCTAGTGGCGGCTGCTGTTGGTGCTGTAAATTGATTAGCTTACAGTATGCTCCACTTTTATTTTCTACAAGACTTGAATGTGTCCCCTGTTCTACTATCTTACCATCCTGTATCACAGAGATTTGATCTGCATTTTTTATCGTCGATAGCCTATGTGCCACCACCACTGTGGTTCGGTTCTTCATCAGCCTGTCAAGGGCCTGTTGCACCACACGCTCAGACTCTACATCAAGGGCACTGGTCGCTTCATCTAATAGCAATATGGCAGGATTCTTTAGGACTGCCCTTGCGATGGCCACTCTCTGCTTCTGCCCCCCTGAGAGTTGCACCCCTCGCTCACCTACCCTCGTGTTGTATCCCTCAGGCAGGCCACTAATGAAACTGTGCGCATTCGCGAGTTTAGCTGCCTCAATCACTTCAGACTCAGTCGCTCCCTCTTTCCCATAGAGAATGTTCTCGTATATAGATGTCGCAAATAGAGCTGGTTCTTGCTGGACTAAACCAATGTGCCTTCTCAGAGATTTTAGCTTCAGTCTCCTAACGTCCTTGCCTGCAAAAATTATGCATTGAACTTAGCAATATGAAAAGGAAAAAAAAATACATCACAACATACAGATGCAAAATTATTGTCCTTTATCTGACCTTACTGATCCTAATTTGAATTAACTAGTTTTTTTTTTTAATTCAATCAATCAAAGCCTTAATCTCATAAGTGGGGTCGGCTACATGAACCAAAGTTGATTATTCCGTGTAGTCATCCACAAAAATCTTCCTCCTCCATCCCTTACGATCCAATGCTTCATCCTAATGCAAATTTATATACTTCATATCCTTCCTAACTCCTTCCAACCAAGTCATTTTGAGGTGAAAGAACAAAGGTGATGTATTGAAGTAGATGCATGTTTTCATACTCTTTCAAATGGTATAGTGAATTAGCATACTAGATATAAAAGAGATCATTTAACATAACAGACATTAATGCAAAGGGGAAGGTAAATACTGTATAGAAGTGAAACCAGGAAATAAAGTAAAAGAGACAGACCATCAACCATCACTTTCCCAGCTATTGGATCATAAAATCGAAGAACAAGAGCAATGACTGAGCTCTTGCCCGAGCCACTTTGTCCCACCAGTGCCATACTTTTTCCTGCGCGAACTTTTAGATTAAAGTCCTGGAAAACTAGAACATCTGGCCTAGACGGATAGCTGAATTTAACTCCTCGCAGTTCAATAGATCCATCAACCTTGGTTAGTTCTTCCCCTGAATCCCCCTTCACCTCGGTCTTTCGGTCAAGCACCTCAAAAACTGATTGAACCATCTGGTTGCCTTTTAGGAGATCTGGAGCCATCGCCAAAGTTTCACCCATGGCTAATGCTGTCACGATAAGAACCATAAAAGACTTCATAACAGATTTGAACCCAGATAATCCCTTTGCCATTAGCGTAGATCCATACCTGAAATTAAGTTAAAAAGGATCAAAATGTTAATGCAACTCTTGCCAATAAAATACTTCGTATGTAACAAGAAGCTTTCCCTCCAATTTATTAGTCTAAATGTCCCAACCCCTCCTACTACTGTATATGAAACTATCTTACTCAAAGAACTATATAATAGTTGGACTATCCCCATACTCTTCCATTGCTCAATCTTAGAAAGGCTTTAATGATAAACCAAATCACAAACCACTACTATTAAATAAAAAGGTGAGAAACTTTTTCTAGGCATCCGAAAACTATTTGGTATACAGAATTACTGATAATGATCTAGTACACTGTACCATAAAGCAAGGGCGTATGAAGAGAAGATGAAAAATTGCGAGACGCCATAGAAGATTCCGGCGATCTGACCACGTTTAAATGCACGTTTTGAAGGCTCAATAAGCTCACGATCATAAAGATCAAGAACCTTTTCTTCTGCACAGAATGCGGCAACAGTTCTGATGTTGCTAACAGCTTCACCAGCAAGCATATTAGCACCGAGGTATGCTTTACTTAGGTTGCCACCATATCCTTGCATGAAGAGTTTCTACGAGGAAAAATTAACAAATAAGTGGGGATAAAGCCAATGCCTCTTTCATAAATAGAAAGACCCAAGTATTCAGAAACAATACCTCACTAAAATGGCCACTAATAATTAATGGATACATCGACAAAACTACTAAAGTTAATCTCCAGTTCAACATGAAGGCGATAATGAAGGCAGTGATGATAAATCCACAGTTGAGGAGAAGAATTGTTGTTCGATCAACAACAATGCTTCTCAACAAAGTTGCATCACTTTCCAGACGTGATGAAAGAGTTGAACTTGAGTTCCTTGAGTCATCGAACCACCCTATTTCATTACTCAATATAGCTGCAGTAGAAAAGGAGATCCATCACACTAACATTTTTGAATATATAATTTTCATGTTAATAGAGAAAGCATTATCTTTAGGGTAAAATTGATTACTCCACGGAAAAGTGCTAAAAGTTTTTTATCATCTTAAAATATTTGAAATATAAACAGAAACCACAAGATCAACAATAGCTTCTTAGATAATCAAGTAATATCCCTCTTAAAGAAGGATTTGCTTCATTAATTTATCTACTAGTCCTACCACCAACCAAACCTTTTGAAATTTCTAATAGAAATTGCATTGAATCAAAGAAGCATAGCCAAGACTTTTACCTGAGAACATCTTTTCTCGCACACGAAGGGTAAGTCGCTCTCCCATTATTCCGAAGCAAGTATGGGCAAGACCATGGTTAAAGATACACACTACAGCACCCCCACAAAATAGCAGAGCAATCTTCCTGATTTCAGTTTTTGTAACATCCCAGACTTCATAATATGACACAAGAGCCTGAGTGACTCCAAGAGCAAAAAGTGGCATCTCCGATCCAGCCATTAAACAAAATATAGTACCAAAGACGCCATACATCCAGTCAGGACCCACCATGGAAATAAGCCTACTCCAAGTAACCTTCTTAATCATTTTGGCAGGCTCTGGACCATCTTCTCGAACTGAATCCTTATCAGAACGGAAACTGGCACCAATACTCGTACTATGAGATAGCTCTCTAGAATATTTCACGCTGCAAAATTACCCAAAAGAAGATCAGTATGAGAAAATTTTTAGTCAAAACATAGTACAGAATCTAAACAGATACCTCAAAGGTCGATCCATTGTTGGCCCTCGGGAAAGATGTGGCATTGAGGAAGCTGTCTCTTGAAGTTGAACAAGGGACAAATAAGCACTTCCTGGATTAGAGATTAGCTCATCATGGCTTCCAGTTTCCACTATTTTTCCACCTTGGACAACTGCTATGATGTCTGCATTCCGTACTGTGGAAAGCCGATGTGCAACAACCACAGTTGTTCGACCTACCATGACACGGTCAAGTGCCACCTGAACACTCTTCTCAGACTCTGAATCAAGTGCACTGGTAGCTTCATCAAGTAGTAGTATTGACGGGTTTTTCACTAATGCACGTGCTATAGCAATCCTTTGCTTCTGGCCCCCAGACAACTGAATTCCTCTCTCACCAACCTGCAATCAAATTTTTAGCTTCACTATACAGGACAAAAGTTTAGAACTTTCAAATCTACTTCCACAATGCAAGAGGAACAACTATTGTTTCTCCAAGACCATCAGCTACGTAAATTAATTTTATCAGACCAATACTAACTAGGTGATATCATTTTCTAGAAGAGAGAAAACAGTGGTATGTGTACTGGTTACATCAAAGGCAACTATAAATTTGCTTCATCCTTTTAGATATCATAAAGTAAAAGTACCTGAGTATCATATCTCTCTGGCAAGTTGTTAATGAATGAGATGGCCTCAGAAAGTTTGGCTGCACGAGTGATCTCATCGAGAGTAGCATCATCTTTTCCATATAGAATGTTCTCTCTGATACTTGTCGCAAAAAGTGCAGGCTCTTGATTGACGAGTCCAATCTGCTGTCTAAGCCAATTCAGATCCAGTTCCCTGATATCATTTCCATCCAAAAGTACCTGTCCAGCAAGTGGCTCATAGAATCGCTCAATCAATGATATCACTGTGCTCTTTCCAGATCCACTGCCGCCTACAAGGGCAACAATCTTTCCAGCTGGAATATCCAGGCAGAACTTATCAAAGATTTTTGCTTCAGGGCGAGAAGGATAACTAAAATATACATCCTTGAATTCGATATGGCCATCCACTTTATTCAGTTTCCTTCCACCTTTTGAGCTTACTTTGCTCACTTTGGCTCTCTCTATCATCTCAAATATTGGATAGGCAGCAACTCTAGCTCGGAGGAATGCAGAAATATCTGGTGCTGCTTGCCCCAGTGACCTAATGCATGAAACGAAACATCAATCTACATCTTTCAGCTGTTAATCTAAATTACAATCTATCAATCAAAGCCTTGATCCCATAAGTGGGGCTTAAGATGTAGAAGTAAAATTTGATTTCATAACATTGTTCTCAGAGTGAAAGAATCACCTTTTTTTATTATTATCATTATTACTTTTTTTTTACATTTATAATGATTTTTCACCATACATAACTAGTGAATAGGAATTAGACAAAGTCCAATACCACTATTAGTTCTTTCAGCCTACATGCTCAAAAAGTGAAGAACTTGAAAACATTACCATATCCTAGCAATGTTAAGTTATCCAATTATTTGCTTAGCCTACTGATAAACTAAGCACTTCTAAGAACATGAGAAGTTTTTTAAGTTGCCAATTCGATTGACTAACACTTTGGGACAAAGCAGTATCATTTAACTGCTTGAATTGACCTTCTCCTACATGTTTGATCACTGGCAAAATGTTTGATCACCAGCAACATGCAGAGGGGAAGGCCAAAAGAGAACAGCAAAACGCAATCAAATAATCATAAAGAAATCTGTAGTACTCACTTTATAAATCATCTTTAGCAATTGATTATGTTATGTATTACAATCTTTTCAAGTGACACCAGAGACCAGACCATAAACTGAGATAATGGACTAATGGTAATGAGTTTTTAGGTGATTTCACATTGAACATACTATGTAAATGTTGATAGAAACAGAAATGGATCACCAAGTATTTTTCTTCATTAAATATAAATAAATGAAGATAAAATACTTTGAGTTGAAGACATTCACTTAGCATTTCAATGCAAATTTATACACATATTCATTACCAATTTACCATCACTTCAATATGAATTGTATCAAACAGGCCAATTATGTTCCAAAGCATAATGTGTGAGTGTTGAAAAGTTGCCTAGTGTACTTAAGTGCCTTGGGAAAGCAGACTAGGTAAAAGAGTAGAATAGGTGGGAGTTAATAGAGAAAGCCTAAATACCTAGGCAGAAAGGCGATTTAATAATAACCTATATTACTATGGAATTAGCAATTCCTCGAACTGAGAGCTAGGTGCCTAGAACCTTTTAATTAATCAAGGGTTGATGCCTCGAACCTTAGCTATGCATCCTTTGGATACTATAACAAACAATAAATGTCGAAACCAAATGCATCGTTGCAGTAACAGCAGTGACTTACAGGCCAGCAATGACAACATTGAGCATGGTGGTGAATGACTCCCCTCCATTAGCTGTACCCTTGTGAACAACAATGCTGGTATACCAAACAAGCAAAGCCCATGATAGAAACAGCACACAGTGCAAGGCCCCCATACCCAAGCCCTTGGCCACTCCTCCTTTCTTCCCATATTTGTAAGTATTCAAAAGAGCTTCTTTATAGGACGACACTGCTTTTTCCTCTCCAACAAAGGCTTGAACTGTCCTCACATTTGCAATTACCTTAAAGATATCAAAATGGTAATGAGAACAAAGAAATTACAAAACTGTTATCATGAGAAGACAGTATTCAGCAATCACCACTGGGAGTAGTGAATTAAAGCCTGTGGACACTACAACTACCAGCATTACATTCTAAAATAAAGATGCAGCAGTGACAAAAAGGAGAATTATAGGTAATATTTAATGTGTAACTATTGACACCCAGATCCCAAGTTCACTACCTCATTTAGTAAAAGTTCTGATAATAGTGAAAGATTGTAGTTTTATATGGGAGAGGTGCCACATTTCACCTACACACATGAATCATACTGCATGATCTGATTTCAAATAGTTCCTTTATTACTTTGTTAGCGATATATTTTTGTTGATTGAAAGAGGAACTCATCAACCATTTTAAATTGAAACCTAAACTAGCAACTTAAGCTGAGTAACAAAGACCACAGTGTCAACCCCATAAATCAAAATTTTACCCTCAAGTGTGAGCAACTCATAGGCAGTCGTGAGTTACTTTGGAGATGACAATATTTTGCAGCACAAACATGCTAACATTCAAACATAATTTTCCAACTTAGGCCTTATATGAAAAGGCAAACTCCTTTCTGACACAAAGGTCTCACAATCAGTTCTCAAAATCCTCTAATTGACTAATTATCAGATATGATAGTAACATCGTACTCAATATTCATCGCATCATTGCCACCTCTTCACAATCATCAGCACCAAGACAAAGAAACCATTTGTACAATATACATTATTATTACAACCCCAAAATTGTGCTGTTAAAAAAGAAAACATCAGTAAACATAGTTCAAACACCCAATGACACCAACTAAGGCAAGCAACAAATCCAATTACTACTGCCAACATTATTTTCTTGGCATATAGGAAGCGGCCCGCAAGAGGCAATGCTGTAAAGATTGTAAACGAGGTTTAATCTTAGGTTTTGAGTACAACCCCAACCTCTTAACCAACTAAGCTAATTGTCATCCCGCAATAAATTGAACAATTGCAAATTCCAACAAAATACCAAATAAAAAATAATTAAATGATAGAGAATTGGGTGAGACCTCTTCAGCAATTTCACCAGCTTTAACATAAGATTTACGAACACGGGCGATGAGACCGGTGGCAACATAAGCGTAGGTGCCACCGGCGAAAGCAATTGCAGGAACAATGGAGAGTGTGATTAGACTGATTTGCCATACTCTTGCAAACCCAATTGCAAATCCAGCTATAAATCTGCTTATATAGTGCAATATCTTCCCAACCTGCAATCAAAAACAAATACCCATTTGTTCAATTTTTTTATTTTTAAACCATGAAATTATCAATTCTATGCAAAACCCCTAAAATTTAAGAACCCTTTACTCAGTATGTTTCAATTCTATGCAAAACCCTAAAATTTATGAATTTCGGAGATCATACCTCTGAAGTTGAAATCTTTCATACTCATTTTGAAGGGAAAATATAAGACATTCTTGAACAGAAAAAGAAAGATAAAAGGGAATTGTTTTGCTCTTTAATCTTTGAGTTTTGGATATCGAAAGTCTTATGTTTGAAGGTCGACCGTTGACTTATGAGTACGTAGTAGTGTACTACTCCTCTATCCCTATTTTTTTTTTTTTTTTTTCATTTGAATTTTCACAACATATAACTCTATTTTTATATGTATAAAAATTATAGAAATTTAATATTAATAAAATATACAATGAGACGAATCTAAATACCCACGTAATTATGTTACCCCGTATTTCTTATTGATTAATGAGAAGTTATAGTCAAATTTATTTATTTTTTCATTTGAATTTTCATAACGCATATAACTCTATTTTTATATGTGTAAAAATTATAGAAATTTAATATTAATAAAATATACAATGAGATGAATTTAAAAACCCGACGTAATTATATTACTCCGTATTTCTTATTGATTAATGAGAAGTTATAGTCGAATTTTTTGAAGTTTGACCCATTTATTTGCAATCGGGGAAAAAAAATGGGGATATAGCCATAGAGGGAGTAATAACTAGTATTACCTGTATGTTCTAAGGTTTAAATTTTTTATTTTTTTATTTTTATTACCCAAGCCTAAAGGTTTGATATCTTGATTACGTGATCGACAAAATTTTATTCATCTCAACCACCACGCAATGTTAGACTATCAATATTCAATAACACCATAAGTCCATAACATCACTGTTATTGTGTATATAAGTACAATTATGGATTGAATATAATATAATTACTGGTTTTATGACTTCATATGTAAGAGTAGTTCACCAAAAAAATTACTTCGTATGTAAGAGGAGATCCCCTTTATATATTTTTTTTTATTTCGTAAGTCTAGATATGTTTGTATAAACATTAAACACTGCACACATTATATGTACTTGATTAAGTCTACTCATTTAAAAAAAAATAAAAAATAAAAAAAATAGTCTAAAAAAATAACAATTTCAGCATCACATGCATTCACTGATTTTGAAAATATGCACTTGAAATTTCCGTTGTGTCTAAGATTCATGAAAATCTGCCTTTTTAAAAGTGGTCATGAGTTAAAATCAATGAGAAGTTGAGAACCCTAGTGTTGTTACTTCCTAAAGGCTAAAGTTCCACCCACCTTGCATTCATTTCAATCTAGCTAAGATTGTTGTAAAAAAAAAAAAAAAAAAAAAGAAAAAAGCTTAGATTACATGCCTATGAATGAAAATTCTTTTATACTACCTCCGTTTTTTATTAATTGACACGTTTTGACTTTAGCATTATTCACACACCTCCCTTTGACCATATTTTGTGATTTATATGTGAAGAAAAAATATAGTCAAGTGGGATCTTGTTAGATTCGTCACAATTTATATTTTCAAAATATCAACTTTTTATAATTTTTGTTTATCAATAATTAAAGATATTAATGATTAAATTTGTGCATTGGCAAATGTAACTAAAGAAACGTGTCAATTAAAAACAAACGGAGAATGTATAAACCAAAAGTATATATTTGTTTTTAATTTTCATATGAAAATAAGTTTTGCAATAAATTTCTACCAATGTCATACATGTTTTGTAGTTGAACTAAATGGCTACACATGCAGCAGTCTTAAAAGGGAAAGCTGACAAGCCAGATTGTAAATATTCGTATTTAATTGTGGTGGGCTAAATACATTTAATTTTCTCCTACAATTTATGCGACTGTCCAACAATATTTATTCAATGATAGTAGCAATTTTTATTAAATTAAGTTAGGTATGCCAAGGATTTAATAAAGTCTAATTCTACTATTTACAACAAGACATTTTAGCGTTTGACATGGACTAATACAAATGGCTAAATTTCCCAAATTAATAGGAATTATAATGGCGTAGAGTTTATCAACATTAAGTATTCTTTTCCTTTTATAAACTTTTATCCAAATTCCTCTACATTGTAAGCAAGTGCATAAAGGAATAATGATAATTATTTGCTGTTTTAGTGATTTCCATGGCTATTCTCATTAATTAAGGAGTAATAATTAAAGATTTCTTCATTTTATTAAAAAAAAAATATACAATATTGATGAGCTTTAGTCAATTGACTGAGTAGTAAAAGTCAATTGATAATAACTATATCTAATAATAATATAATTCTATTAATACATCAAAATAGTGAGTACCATACCAAAACATATACTTGTATTGTGTATAGACTTTTTTTTCTTAAAAAAAAATAGTAGTAATCGTTAATTATATGAAGAAAAAAAAAGTCTTAAATACAAAACATGATTATAATAAGGAGTAAATTAAATGATTAAATTAAATATTATACTATGAATTACTAATAATTTTCACATACATGTTTGATATATTAAGACAACTAGATGTAAATGTGGACGGTATGTAATAACACCACATATACTAATCGGTAGTAAAAAAAGTTAAAAGACAAGTATGGTACCTTTTCGGAGATAGCATCCTGAACTATAAGGATATCGCTAGTAATGGCATTAATAACTTCTCCAGTGGAAGCCTCAGTGTCGAAAAGAGTGATATCTTGATTCAACATTGACCTCAAATATGCCATCCTCATTTTTGCTGCTTGTCTCTCTCCCGTTTGCATCCAACATGCCACCTCTATCAATTTTTATTTATTATTATATTGGTTACATGATATACTTTTCATTAAAAAAAATACATTAATTAATTAATTAATAAAAAACTTAATTGATTATATATGAAATTGGAGATCATTTATTTGATCATTACTTACCAACCCATGAAGAAAACAATATAACCACACTGAGGTAAACAAAGTCCAAAGAATACTGCAAAAATGAGCAACACAGAATTCACATATTATCATTTGTTGATTAAAATAATCAAAACATGGACTGTGTACGAATAAAATTCAAATAATTAATACAGATTAGCACTCCAGATTAATCTCTATCTTATTGATTAAAAATCATCGGAAATTGTACTCCAATAAATATAAGAGAGGGCGTAACATAATTTATACAATGCTAAAATCAATTATTGTATTGTAATCTTGTGCACGCAGGTGATAAATTAGGTACACATTATATTATGAGACGAAAGGAGTATAAATAATTACCTTGCCAACTTCATGAGAAGTTTCTCTAGGGAAGAGGTAGGCAACACCGATAAGATTAATCAATTTGCCAAAGAAAATGAAGAAAACAGGCACAGAAGCTCCATGTGCAATAGCACCAATTGAACCAAGAAACATTAGTAAATAATCATAAGAATCAGCAAAAATAAACAACTTCAAAAATGGCACATTTTTAACTTTATTCTTCTTTTTCATCTCTTCATCTTCTTCTTCCTTCTTTTTACCACTCATCATCTCTTCTTCCATATTATTATTATTACTATTTCTTTGTGTTTCTTGCAATTGAATGCTCATTATATTTTTATCTTTTTAATCCTAAAAATAAAAAAATCTAGAGAGAGAAAGAGTTTCAGAGAGAGAACAAGATAGAAGGTGATAGGATATTTTTTGTAGAATTATTTGTAGTAAGATAAGAAGAAGTTAAAGAGGAGGTGAGTAGTAGTTGAGAAGAGAGAAGTCATTAAAAATGAAAGGAAGAATACAGCTGCATCATATGCACTTATATATCATGTATATATCAGAGCTGACTAATAACTGTATATATATGTGTTTATGTTCATCTCACTGAACTCAACTTTAATTCTTACACTTTCCTTAAATTCTCCATCTCATTTTTCTTCAGGATTATTGCTTTGGCCCATGCCTTATGGACGTACACTTGTAATCTTTTGATTTTTGTAAAAAAAAAAAAATCTAAAATTAGGGTAGATATGGTTACTGTGTTATTGGGTGATGAGTATTTTAGTTAAATGACGGTGTAAAATAAAGGTACTCGTAAATATATACGAAGTATAATTATTATATTATGTACAAGAAATTGGGTGAGAGTACGTGTAATTTTTACTGTGATTATCGTAATTTTACTAATCTAAATCTAACCTATTTTATTAAGTCTAAGTAACCGTTTAATTTTGAATATAAATCATTTAACTGTATAAAGTAATGTATATGTGATTAATGTAAAAGTCGAATCATTACCGTACAAAAAATGGAAGAAGTAACTGAGGCATGCAGAGTAAGAGAGAAAAGACAATTTTGTGGTTTAATTTTGACCATAGTAATTAAGTGAAATACAAGTCATAAAATCAATTCCCAATATATATACCTCTCAAAAAAACCCATTACTAATAGATGTTGTCAAGTTGGTTGGGTGGTGAAGATCAGATAATAAAGAAAATTGGAAAGCTCTAAAAAAATGAATCAATCATGAAACAAAAGGACAAATCATATTAATTGAGAATAGATGGGCAATTGGGCATGCATGTTGATGATGAATTTGGTGTCTACTTAAGAGCCCTTTTTTCCCATTTATTTCACTTAAATGAATTAAATCTTAACTGAAATTTTAGAAATCTTTCATTTTAGGGTAACTATTATTTCCATGTATATATATATGGGATCCAATTTTCAAATCAAAAGTTTAAAAGTTGGACACAACAATGTGCAAAATTGGGTATATGCCTATTTAGGGATGCTATAATGCTTGAAATTTGTGTAGTTTATAGTCAACGTCATAATATAGTGACAAAAACAATATAGTCCACAAAAAATCACAAGTTGGATGCAACAAAAACATAGAGCAAGATTGTTGTATAATTGTATGTATGAACGTCATCTTCCAAATCAACAAATTAAAATATAACGAAGTAAATGGTATACTGTATCATCTCATCATCTGCATGGAATGCTGTCAAATCTCGTTGCTATGTATTTCAATATAATGTTTACTTGAATATCCTCTATGGCTCTAATGCTCTATGGCTCTATTGTCGAGAACTTGCTTAATCCATTTGAAATAAGGTGTTATGATATGATTTATTGATGTTATTAAGGTACATATATACTTGTATTGTATATGCATGTTATTCTCACTTGATGAAAATTAATACACATTCAATTATTAGAATGAATCAAATTAATTAGATTTACATGACTTCGTTTTCTTTTACAATACTTCAAGTCATCAAATACGATCAAAGTGTATATATATATGTATATTTAGATCGAACTTGTAAAGGGGTATTGGTGTAATCTGTATTGTCATTTCTAGCCTTATAATAAAAATTGACTATATAAGTATTTTTTATTTTTTTAAAAAAAAAATAGTCATGCATTTATAAGTATACTCAACTAATAAAGCAAGCATGCATGAATGATGAAAAGGATGTGTAACTATATATAAATATCATATATTCATATATGTGTGCTATGGTGGGTTTGTACCTATTGTAAAGGGCATCTCCTTAATCAGCTTAAGAAGGTAGGAGATACCACAACTTATGCATGGTTTGAATATGATGTACTGTCAATTCAATCTTCAACCAAGCTAAGCTAAGTTTGCCTTATATATATATATATATATATATATATATATATATATATATATATATATATATATATATATATATATATATATATATATATATATTTGTTTCCACATTAAAGTACGTAGCTAATTCCTACCCCAATTAACGATTACAATTTTAGAAACTCTATCAGTATGTATCAACTTTAATTGCAAAACAATTTCTTAGTCGACAAGCTAACAAAAGATGGTGAGTTACAATCATAATCATCATCACGTACTGTAATTAACTGTATCTGATTCATCAAATGCAGTTTGCTACCTCTACACATATTCAATTCCATGAAATGTTGTACTCCCTTTATTTGGAAATAATCGTGACATAATCATCTAGTATGTATTGAGATAATTATTACCTAGTAATAATTTGATAGCATAATAGGGATGGGGTGTATGTACGTAGTTGTGTACTCGCGTAGTTAACTTCCAAAAATACAAAAAATATATATTACGTGCTATATACTTCCTCCGTTTTTTAAATATTGCACCATAAGGGTTGGACATGTTCAAATTTTTTGGTAGGGCGAGAAAGAAAGAGAGAGAAAGGTAAAAGTACAAAATTGTCCATGTGATTGCTTGAAACATATAAACTAAAGAATCAAGGGTTTAAAGGTAAGGGTATATAGGGTATTTGTAATGCGAACACAAGTATTTTCTTTTCTAAAATGGATATGGTGCAATATTTGTGAAACTTTCTTACGCAATTTCTATAAACAATAATCTCGCAGGATAGTGTTATTGTACATGGTGCAAGAGTATTGTAGACCAGAGAGTGAGGGATAGTTCAAGTGGTTAGAGCTTCCCTCCCGATTTCAAGAGATCTTGGGATCGATTCTCACCTCGCCCTTGTGGCTCTCTAAACACCAAAAAAGAGTATTGTAGATCAGATTTAAATAACGTTACAATTTTCATATATACAAGGCGATGAGATAGTAATATTATGAGGGCTATTATGTGGATCCTCTTATGGTCATCACCAATTCATTTCATGTTCAATGCGCGATGTGAACAACGTATTTGTGTTAATGTATGGTTTATTATAGACTTGCATAAGTTCACAATAACTATCCATTTTGTTTTTTTCTATCCACAATTTTTCCTCCCCTCCTTTTTGGGTCAAATTACTGCGGAATGGCACTCCACTTTCGGGGCCAAACCTAACGTCACTTTGTTTTGGATACATTTCCTCTAATCTTCAAATCAACTGTCTAATTCAATTATTATTATCGACAACAACCTTGAACCCTCGAACCATATCAAACCAAGCTGTCTATTTATATTTCGTCATATATTTATCAAGTCATTATGTTGGTGATTTTGCCGATTTAGCGATTAATTAATTAGTAATGACATACTTTTCATACTCTTAGCCTTTAGGCAAGATCGATCGCATCATGTACCTTATTAGTTATTATACAAGGAAACGAAAAGACTATGGTATTACATGGAACTTATTCGGAAAATCTACCTGTGTATAGCGTTGTACTATACTGTTTCCATCTCTTAACTCTTGAAATAATACAATCATGAATATTTTTTTTTTTTTTTCGGTGTTTAAAAAGTCACAAAGGCAGGTGATGAGAATCGTTCGGGAGCTCTAACCACTTGAGCTATCCCTCACTCTCAAAAAATCATGTAGATTAATCAACAGTTACTCCTGAATCTTGATGATATTCTTGGAAACTTTTGTTACTTTAGTTGTGTACTAGGTTAGAACCCGTGCGATGCACGATTTATATAAAACCTTGTATAAAAAAATAAGTAATTTAATTTTAGATTTTCATCAAAATTATGATATAGTACGATTCAATGTCAACTAATACATAGTTCAATGTAGGAGATCATTTATTAGTATGCCATTTAAAATTATTTTAATTTCCTAAGATAATTAAATTGATAGGTTTTAGTTGTAATGTGGAAGCTTCCAATATTTAAATTTTAAAAATGTTAAATATAATAGCTCCATAAAAACAAAAACAAAAATAAATAAATAAATAAATAAATAATAAAATAAATAAATAAATGGCGTCATCTTTGCATTTATGCGGGAAATTTTTTATTAAGAGAGCGACATGTAGGCAGTGGTGATATCAGCATACTCTATTTTAGTAATATTTAATAGATGTTGTGAAGTTGTTGCTTAGGTTGTTAGTTGTTAAACCGTAGCTGTTACTTGTTTGAACTTGTTACATGCAATTATACAAATAACATTATTCACTCGAGAGGGCCTTGCAATAAATAGTTGGGCCTTAACATTAATTAAGGAAAGAATAACTCATTCGCAAATTTGGAGAGCTCTATCTTAGGTAGGCCCAACTTATTACTGTTCATTCATATTGGAGATTGGAACTTGGATGCAGGATGATTGCCCATGCCCATCACTTGCTGAAGTCAATAAATTTTATTTTATTTTTAATTACATATTTCAAAAGTGCGGAGTACATAATATTGCCCTTTATGACTCTATCTACACCGTAGAATATATTCAGATAATTGAGTAGGTGCGATATCGAGCATTAAGTGAATGATAAAAGAGCTTAAGTTAGGATCAATACTATTTATGAACCGTCTCAAACGTTTACAAGAATCCTTATAGATGACATTGTACTTATAACTTTGACTTTACCACGACCGTGCCAGCTCGCGCTAAACTTAAAATTAAATTCTCACAAATATGAGTCGACAAGATCTAAATACCCCCATTGAAAATCAATCTACTAATAAGCTCACCGTACAATCATTCTAAATATCAGGTAATCTCGATCACCCTTCCAATCTATAACACGAAAGAGAACTCCTTTAAAGCTTTATCACTATTATGACTTAACAACGAGACCTAAATACCTAAGGAAATGATGTAGACTTGGTTTACAAATCAGGACCTATCACTGTACATGGTGGAACAGAAGAAAAGTGAGTGATCCCTTACTTATCAAAGATGCCTTGTTTAGAGGGCGGTAGACCATTCGTAGTTGCCTGCTCTGAGGCAGAAGCAAGCCCCTCCAACATCCTTAAAATCTCGCTGGTATCTTCAACATAGTACTTAGCTTTGCTGGGTTTCTGGCCAACAGTACAGGCAAATACTTCGGCAACAGGTGAGAGCGAGGAAGTTGTTCTTGCACTTGATATAACCTCGAACATGTCTTCATCTGACCTATCATCACCGATGCAAAGAACAAAATCAGGGAGCATCCCCTTCTGCTGCATTGTCGCAAAGAGACGTTCTGCTACTAGACCCTTATTAATGCCCTGTGAACAGAAAAGGAATCAGACCTGGGAGGCTGGGAGCAGATGATTTTCTTATCATGAATGTCCAAATGTATATCATCTTAATCAGTCCTTGTATGTCAAAATATCAAAGCAGAATCAACTTGTATGAGAAGATTTTGTAACACAGAAGAACAAAATATAGGATGCTGGACTGCTGGGGCATATGGTGCGGATCAGTGGATGCGTAAAATTGTAACTAGACACGGAAGATTTAAAGTTTGAAGTATCAAATACACAAACAAAACCTAAAAAAATACTTGTAACTAGCAATGCTGTCCAACTACTGACATAAACTCTGCAGACACCAGGGTCGAATTACAGCCATTTCTCCAACAGTCCTAAGTCAATGGCAGTCCCCAGTCACATGATGGAGTAAAATTGGGCTAGCATAAATAACAGGTATGTGACTATGCACTCTCATACTACTCTGACAAGAAATAAAATATAAGGTGAAAGCCTAATATAACTTAGTTACCCAATCTCTTGGAAATATACATCTAGTAGCACACCAATATATGTGTTTTATACCCTGATGATCCATTAATTACACTTGAATCTCTCTCACTTGAGCTACATCTTGGACTTCACTTGTAAGACAATTCTTTTCACACACATTAACAGCATTTTTCACCATTGTATTTGATCTAAATAAGAAAGACAGTGGAGCATTTTTACATGGGGCGGGGAAACATGTATGGAACAGAGCTCATTAAGAGTTTTCAAGACATCAGACAGGGTCACAACTCCGAAAATAGCATATCAAATCTAATTACTTTCAATATAAAATTACTCCCTTCCTTCATTAGTAAGTGTCAATTTTTGCTTGTGAAGGTCTTATTTTGTGTGACAATTTATCTTAAAATATAAAAGTCAATGTTTCAGATATTTATCAACTATATCATGAGAGAAAAGCGAAAGCAACAGTTATTACTTAGGGTGTTAAACAACCTAGTAAGCTAATATTTCAAGTAAAGCCTTTAGTGTTTAGAATTTTAGAAGACAATGTGGTAGGTGTGGCCTTGCCACAAGCTAAGGCCCACGAGTTATTTCTTCTAAGTATTTCCTTGTTCTTTGTCAAGCCTTGCCCCTCTTTTGCACTAAAAAAAAATAATTAGTATGTGTCTCAAATAAAGTGTCTTAATATGAGACATGCCATTTTTAAAATTTTATTTTTATTTTTATTTTTTTTGGTGCAGGACTCATACAGGAACAACTACTAGTCTCCCTTAACTTTCATACTTCGTATATAGCATAGAGATTACAAGTAATCACTCCATACATATATAAAGGTTCATACGTAGACATTAGTAAGACAGCAGAGGATGACAAACCTGCGGTTTAACTTCAACAATGTACTGACCACTCTTTACAGAAACAGGCTCGTTGGCAAGAACACTTTCGAGATGATCTAGCAGCTCCTTTGCCTGGCATGACCCAAAATCTCGATCTGCGTACCGATAGTTCCATACAAGAGCACTTTCTTTTGTCTCTATGAAAGAGCCATCGGTTGTCTCAGCATATAGCTGCATCACTGGCTCAGCCACATGTTTCCAGTCAAAATTCGAAATAGGTTTACAAATCTCCCAATCAGCATCATTATCATACCTGGGTCGGAAAAAAAATATATAAGTAAACTAGAGTTTACCTCCACAGATTCATTTTCACAGTATATATGTTCCCTTTTGTGTTAATATTACATTTATAGTCAGTTTGTATGTTGATTACATTGGCTGACACCTTTACAACTTCCTAACTTATTTTCAAGTCTCTGTATTTAAGCGTCTCTTAGAAAAAGTCTCTACTAGTCTTAATTGATTATACTTATGACACAAAAGGGCTTAACTGAAACACTCAAAATTGAAGATATACACAAACATTACTGTAATGATTTATTTAATTAAAAAAAATAATAATAAAAAAGCCTTATCATTAGTTCATTACCCACGGCCATGGGCCATGACCTCCAGCCACTCCCTATTTCCCTGCAGTCTATTGGGCCACTGGCTTGAAAGTAGTGCTTCACCCTTCTACACCTCTCTCTTTCTTTCATCTACTACTGTCTTTAACAGACAGCTTATTCTAAAGGTAAGGTTGCCAAGATCCCGACTTCTATCGATCTTACAACCAGTGCATTCCCATTTCATCTATAAGACCAAAAACTACAGAATAGATATTGGGAAATGTAGGGAGCATTATTCCTTAGGCGGCATTTGATAATGGTATTGGTATTTAAAAATCAAATAATCTAAAGAACAAAAGGCAAAAATGGCACATCTACCTGACAAAGTATCCATGCTCTGCTGCAATGCCAAGGTTTTCACAAGAAGAAAACCATTCAGATAGCTTTCTTTTGTCCTTTCCACTAACTAGGAAGACAACATTTTTTGAATCCTTACACAGGCTGTTCAAGACTTTAACAGCCTCCACGTTAGGATTTGTGCTCACTGAACTCTGCATCATCATGGTACCATCACAATCTAAAAGAATAGCACGGTTCTTTGTCCTCTTATAAGCTGAAACAATATGCTCAAGAGAAAGCTTCCTGAAACTTGGATCCAAAGCAATGACTCGAAATCCTAGTCCAAAGCCAATACCCCAGCACCTTCTTTTAACATGTTCCCTGCATGCTCTTTCAAGATCCTGCAAAAAGCTACGAGCCCAAAATGCAACATCGTGTGTGCTCACAAATCTATGATGTTTCTCATGGCGCAGCTGTTTCTCAGAGTCTGGAATAGTTAGGCCAGACTCCATTGCTTCAGCTACAGAATCAATGTTCCAAGGGTTGACCCTAACAGCCCCACTGAGTGAAGGAGAGCAGCCAATAAATTCAGAAACAACCAGCATGCTCTTCTTTGGTACTGTGGGTCCTAGTCCCAATGCTCGGTCTAGATTTTCATTACCTTGCCGGCTTATTACATACTCATAAGGTATAAGGTTCATTCCATCCCTAACTGCTGTGACTAGGCAACATTCAGCAATCACATAATAAGCTATCCGCTCATAGAACTGAAGTGGAGTATCAATCAGTATTACAGGTCTGTATCCTGCTTTACCAAACATTGCATTTATTCTCTTAACCGTGACACTGGTTTCAGATTGAACTTCCTGCACATCTTTACCACGTCCTCTCGCTGGATTAGCAATTTGAACCAAAACAACCTTACCTCTCTTATCAGGATGTTGAAGAAGCAATTGCTCCATAGCCAAAAGTTTCAAACTGATGCCTTTAAAGATGTCCATGTCATCAACCCCAAGCATGACAGTCTGACCCTTAAACTGTTCTCTTAATTCAGCAACTCTGACTTCTGTCTCAGGAAGATTCATCACAGATTTTAGCTGGCCCATGTGAATTCCAACAGGAAGAATTTTAATGCTAACAGTGCGACCGTAATATTCCAAACTGATGTAACCTCGCTTGGATTGGTAAGAAAGACCTAGCATCCTACTGCAACATGAGAGGAAATGTCTAGCATAATCAAAAGTATGGAAACCAATGAGGTCAGAATTCAGAAGTGCTCTCAGAATTTCATCTCTTACAGGAAGAGTCCTATATATCTCAGAAGAAGGGAAAGGACTATGGAGGAAAAACCCAAGTTTCACCCTATTACAACGCTTCCTCAAAAATGTAGGAAGTACCATCAAATGATAGTCATGGACCCAAACATAATCATCATCAGGGCTGATCACTTCCATAACTTTATCAGCAAAAATCTTGTTTACTGACACATACGCTTGCCAAAGGGAACGGTCAAAACGACCACCAAGATCAGGTGACAGAGGAAGCATATAATGAAACAAAGGCCACAAATGCTGCTTGCAGAAGCCATGATAGAATTTGGTGAAGAGTTCAGGAGGAAGAAAGGTCGGGACACATTTGAAGTTCTCAAACAAAGTATGTGCTACACCGTCCTGTTCACTTGGGTCAATTTGTTCTCTGAGGCACCCAACGTAAACAATTTCAACATCCTCAGCGAGACCATCCTTAAGCTGCAAAAGAAGTGAATCCTGATCCCAACTAAAGTACCGCCCTCCATTATCACTCTCAGATTTATAGTGTACCCGAAGAGGAAGCTGGTTTCCCACTATAATTACACGCTCTTGGTTGACAGAAGAAGGAGCATCAGAGCTAACACTATTGCTAGCTTCATCATCTAACTCAGACAATACTCCAGCAACAGTCTTTACCCTAGGGAACCTCTTATCCCCCCGGCATAAACTCGGGAACTGGCCAGAAGCCAAATCCAGTAAGTTCGAATAAGACCGTGATACCATGATATACAACTATTCCCTGAAGTATGTGCAGCAAATGAAGTATGTTTCCTTCTCCCTGACACTGATTTTATCCTATAACTTTCATGAAAATACAAAAAGCCAATTAATCATAATGCCACAGCATTTCAGCCTAACTTAAAATATACTCATAAAATTTTTGCAACAAATTTTCAGAATAATGATGCTTAATTACTCCACCACAGTAAAAATTGAAACCAAAGTTGTTTCAGATCCCATCATCAAACATAAAAAGCCAGATGCTTAACAACAACCCTAACATCTTCAAAAAAAAAAAAAAAAAAAAAGGATAGGAAAAAGAAAGAAATTCATTCTTAGCACACAGTCCAGATAATACTCGTGTTTGTAACCCTTGTTTCTGCCATGCCCATATGTTTCCCATTTCAGCTTTCTCCCCAACTTCACTCATTAACCCAATCATGCAAACATAGGAAAAAAATTATCTAAAATTTTTTAAAAAAAAAAAAAAAAAAAGTTGCATCAAACATAAAATCCATACAAAGAAGGAATCACACCAAAAAAAATTCTTAACCATATACCCCCTCACTTCGATATTAACTGTCTCGTTGATAGTGTAATTTGAACTAGTGATATGACAACTAAATCCGGCTAACGGGCAGCAGTATAAACAAAAAAAGGGATTGTTATACAAACTCAAGACAAGGAAAATCATGTCAATATTCCAATTGAAGATCACTTAGAAACCAAATCAAATCAAAAAATAAGAACAAGAAAGTTTTTTTAACAAATAACTCACCAGTCACAAGTTCACAACCCCTTCAAGATTCCCAGCAAAAAGCAATGCAAAAAACCACCTTTTCTTCAACAAATCAAGCAATCAAATTCTATATGAATGTAGATTTCACTTTATTTCCCAGAAAAAACTGGTAAATAAAAAAATGAACCAGTACAGAAAATGTGAGCACATAAACAGATAAATGAAGACAAGTGGTGATAGTAGTGGGTGCAGCAAAAATAGCAACCAAGAAGTGTGACATAAAAAAGGCAACAAATGTAACAACATAAACACTAAATAAGTAAATAACACATTTATTTAAAGCTTCATCATAAAAATTTGCAGAAAAAAAATAAATAAAAAAAAAAACTGTATTAACCTGAGATTAATCAATTCTGAGATTCCTTCAACTTTATAATCTGTAAAATATTAGTATAAAGTAAATGGGGTTTATAATAAATTAAATTTAAAGACTGTTTAATGAATTCAGATTTAGGGACAGAAAATCATCGAGATTCCCTCTTTCTTTCAAAAAATGGAATTTGATTCTTTGTTTTTTTTTTTTTTTTTTTTTTTCTCTCTCTCTCTCTTAAAGGGTAAGAAATAAGTATGGAGTTAGGACAGTTTCCCTCTCCCCTGCACATAACTAGTAATGTTTAACCATGGTTAACCAGTTCAATTATGCTTTGACAACACATTATGAAAGTATTTATTATCTTGCTATAATTAGTGGATTAAGACATTTTTATTCTGCTAATATGGCTACATGTTAGAGTTAAGTGGGCATGAAATATTCTAAGCTTTTTTAAGGCAAAGTGTCAAATGAATGATTGTTATATGGTAATTAGAAACAAGGGCAATTTTTAATAGTATTCCGCGTTAAGGCTACTCGTGTCTTAAATCCTATTAATACATTGTCGTTTTGTCAAACCAATTACTATGTATTCTATTATTGTTAACAATTCTAACATGGATTATTTTGTATTTCTTACTAGTGATGTTTTTGGTGTAGTGAGAAATATAAAAACGATGATGCGACCGGAATTTGAATTTAAACCTTAGATTTTACCCTCATACTTAAATCAACTAGAGATTGTCTACTTGAAAATTAATGTTTGTTAAAGCTTGTCTCAAGGTTGATTAAATTAAATGAAATGACATGAGATATGTGCAACTGTGCAAGTATTCTTCTAATTGTAGCCAAGGCCCAGGGGTGAGATGGGTATGTTATACTTCGTATGTTTGGATCTAGAGGACATTATTATTCTAGTATTTGACACAAGTAACAAGGCAGTAATTGTACTATCATCACTGATATAAAAATAAATAAATAAATAGCTAGTCTGGATAAGGGCAAAGTAGAAGATCAAAAACATAAACCTAGCTGAAATTAAATTTTATATTGATGAATTACTTCGATTTTATTGTTCCAGTATTAAATGTTTTAATCTTTTATTTATTTATTTATTTGAAAGGAACACTTTTTTTAAAAGGGTTTTGATAGGATTTTTTTTTTTTTTTCAAGTTGGGGGAGGAGGAATTGAAACTTGAAATTAAAGGAACTTGAAATGCAGGAAAAAAAATTAAATAAATAATGGAATTTATTATGACATCTTGTCAAGATCATTGTTTGTCTGTCTAGAATCTACAATTAGGTACTGTTATATTAAAATTGCATACACGCTTGCAATTAATTAACTTATAAGTAATTTTAACGTTGAATTGTTACATAATATAATATTTAAATCAGACGCTGACGCATAAAGAACAAACTTTTAGGTTGGAACTTGTTCATTGTCTCATTGAAAATCATGAGATCGGAGTATCATGTAGCCTTAGAGGTATTTGGCCATAATTTTATGTAAGTTATATCTATTCCCAGTAATCAAAAGATCAATTTTATTTTATCACTTCCAACCTTAAATCAGCATATATTTTCTATTTATATAATTTTGATTCTTTTTTTTTTCATTAATATCATTCCCTTTGTATTTGTAGTTACTTTAATTTGATACATGATTGTCAACACATACATATCTTTCAGCATTGTTTTTTTTTTTTTTTTTGATGAAATCTTATTTGTTAATAAGTAAAAGTTAATTATATCAATATTTGAACGTAATAAAGACATTATGTAATACGAAGTAACGCTTTACATTGTAGGATTTGTTAAGTTTATGCGAGGAAGTAAGGTGCCTTGTGATATGATCATCGAAGATACTTATTTAGATGTCGACGATTTGATGTTATTTTCTTGTATTACATTAGAAGAATGGGGATGTTGATGCTAGATTGGAGCCTTTGAATGGGGTGGATCATGTTTTTGTTGTTTCATGCCCGTTAGTCCGTTACATACTCCGTTAGGGATGTTGGCCTTAGCTTGGCAGAACCCAACCTTGTGTAATTTGACTTTTTAACTTAATAATATGCTCCCTTTTCCCTTTGTAAAATTAACAATAAAAAATAATTACTCCATACGATATTTAGTGAAACTAATTAAAAATAGTAAAGGGGTAATTATTATGATATTATAGTATTGTAAACATAATAATTATATCTGTAAGTTAGTGATGATAAATTGAAAATGATTGCTAATAATAAAAATGGAAATTGATGAATTTAGACGGAGTAAGAATCGTGATGGTGACTGGTAGTTGTCACTTAGATAGTTAGATAGTCCACTGCACCTGAAGTCTTAGCAAAAAATGTCGGGCAATAAAATTATATTTGTAAGAAATTATTTGCACCAACTATCCCACATTTCCACCTTAATTATTAAAACGACTCATGAAAACAATTGATGGTACTAAACTTTTTGTCTCTTTGTTGGCCATAAGAGACAACCTATTTTAACAAGCCACTACTTCTATCCGTCCCTATTTTGGAAACTTTCTTACGTGAATAAAATATCATTATAATATAGGAAAAAAAAATATATGATAAATCCAACTCTAAAGATTGCAAATATGAAGAGTAAAGAAAATGATTAAGGATTAATAACACATTAACACCAATTAACCTGTAATTTATCATATATTGTTAAACGTATACTCCGTACATAATACTTCTTGTATTTAACATATGTTTTTCTATCATAACCATTACGGTAAGTCTAGATATTGGTTAAATATGGATTGTAAAACAACAATGTACTTCATTCATTAATTTATACTCTTCTCATTAAGAATCATACACGTGTCACTGATAGACTCCGTTAAAGATTGTGCTCATTGCTCAACCTTATAGTTTTATAAAGTTAGAAAATAGAGTTTCAGTGTTTCACTAGTGAGTTGGTGGTGGAATTTAAACAAATGGTAATTTTGTTCTAAAGTTACTAAAACTTATATCCCTACAAACCCAATTCATGACCTGATTCTTTTACGGGTACTTATTTGCACTTCACATGTTCATATAACAAAACAACTACAACCACTCAACCAGTTTAAGAAAGGTACGGAGTGTATGAGTAAGTAAAATAAATTATTTAAAATAAATATACCACCGATAAGAATAAAGTGTTAAGTTTTTACTGTTTAATTTTTAAGATTAGTTCATTCAATAGTCAATACCTTTTCTAATCACTTTCTTAAGTGGCTAAAGTGGCATGTTAAGATTCTTAAGAAGGTTAGTTGCAAACTTGCAAGTGACATTTTGTTGCAAGAAATGTTAAATGCATCTCCACTCTTCACTAGTGTTGACTGTTGAGAACGTCAATGAACAGATTCGTCCACAATGAAGGTGGAGTTTTGGAAAGCCCAAAAGAAGTACTCGTAATCAATTCTGCTGTGAATCTGTGGTATTGGTAGACCATAGACAGACATTAGTGGGCCTACCAAATTAATACAGTATTGCTCAACTTTCAATTTCCCGGTACCATCTCTATTATTGGACATTCGTACTTTATTAAGGAAATGTTTTCACATGATTACACTTTACGTACAAAGTTACAAGTGTTACAACATTCCTTGTACCCGTAATTCGTCTGCGTTGGGTATTTGGCCAATTTGGGTGGGTAAAAGTGTAAAACCCGTTATATTCATGAACCAAAGTAAACCAATGTACTCGTATTTACTTATGCTACATTGGGCTATCAAAAATTGATTTTGCCAAATTCACATTAAAAAAATAATATTAAATAAAAATAATTTCACTTCAACAAAATTAAGTTTAGTTCAGTAAAATTCAGTAACTTTAAAGAAAAAACATAATAAAAAATTAGTAAAAAATAATTTCAGTTCAACAAAAATAATTTCAATTTAATAAAATTAATTTCATTTCAATAAAAATTTAAGTTCAGCAATATTTCAGTTCAATAAAAATAGTTTCACTTCAACAAAAAATAAGGTAAAGTCAATGGGTCCTAAGAGCTCCTTTTATTAAAAAATAATTAAAGACATAATTATTTGGTTTTATAGAATACAAAAAAACAGTTTTTTAGATTTTTCTAACTTAATGAATAGGATATTTAACTAATTATTGAAGTAAAATCTTCGTAATAGAATAATAGATGAAATTGCAAGTATATGGGATGAAGTTGTCTTCAATCTAAGACTCAAGTAACAAGTTGGTTTCTTGAAGTACGGATGGACCATAAATCATGATATTCCCTTTAAGTATACTCATTATACCCTGTATAAATGTATTTAATAATTAACATGCTAATTAATTATTATCTAAAAACCTGATACCTTGGAACTTATATTGTAATACCTCATATTTTTATACATATTTAATTTAAATCATTATTTTATGAAGTATTTAAATAATTTGAAATGAATTATTTATGGTATTTTATTAATTGAAAAAGAATTAATTTAATTAAAGGTCCATTTTTATTTATTTATTTATTTTGGAAAATATTTTATTTTATTATTTAAAAACTTTGGGGCATTTATTTTGTAAAAGGAAATTTAAAGTCAATGGTATGTAAGGATAGTCAAAGACTAGTTTGAATAGGAGAAGAGATCATTAAGGGTAGAAAGGGAATTTAGGCTTAAGAGGGTTCTGGAGAGAGGGTATAAATACCCATCTTATGAGCAAGTTAGATCTTGCCCAAGGTGGAGAATACCCAAAGGTAAACTCTCTCTCTCTCCTCTTATTTTCTCTCCCTTAATTTTCCCCCTTCTCCTTTATTCTTTTTTTTCACACACCACCACCATACACACCACGGTGGCCGGCTGCCACCACCACCACAGCCGGCCGCCGTCGCCAGCACAGGACCGGCAGCAGCAACAACCGTGGGAGGTGGCGCCAGCTACCCTCCCTTTCCCCCCTGTGCGTGCGTGTGTATTGTATAAAAAAAATAATAAAAAAAAATCTTCTTTGTTTTTTTTTTAATAATTCTAGCTTTGATTCAATTATTATTTTTGGGTTGTGTGATGATTTTTTATGATGATAGATTATAATTATTATGTATAATTTTCAGATTTGGTTTTTGAATGAAAAAGCCCAAATTGAAAACCCCAGGTTTCTAAATTAATGTATATTGATGGAAACTGATTGTGGCTGATTGAAACTAATAAATTAGATGTTTTAAAACATAATTACAGCAATTTATTATGTTTTATATAGCTGGAATTTTTATATAAAGACTATAATTATGTGTCTTGAAGGGATTTTTAATTACCATTAATTGGGAATAAAAGTAAGGGTTTTAAATTAATTTTCAGCTTATTTTAGAGGATTTATAAGTGATTTAAAGAGTGTATATATTGCTGGAAATTTATATTGAATAGGTATTAATGTCTCTTTGTAACT